GCCACGTAAACTACACCTCATTTTGGCAGTCAGAGTTGTGCAGTGCCATGGTGAGACTTGTTTACTATTCAGTGGGTTGTAACCATGTGAAGTTCAGTTTTCAGGTGTGTGGAGCTGGTGAGGCTGATGTAACCTCTGCTCCGGTTTATTTCACCCTGCCTGGCTAGCTGGTTTACTGATTCATCCCAAATCAGTGAAGCAAAGACTGCAGTCATCATTAGTTTGTTAAGTGTAACATTAATCCTCAGAACAGGACTTCAATTTGACTGATTTCCTTGCTGCATGTTCCATCTTTCAAAGAGAAGTGCAGACAAGACAGACTGCTGGGATAATGTTTAACCCATTTCAAGCTACACAAGATGATGTAAAATACTAGGCTGATGTCAGACTGATTTTTAAAAGTTGACTTCCTGGGTTGGTGAGGATTTGATATTGAGAGCTTTCTTAAATTGTTGCACATAAGAGCACTATAGCCAACAAAGCAACCTCCCCCCTCCCTCCTTGCTACACTTAGTGTAATTAACATCGCACTCTTGTAAATGCCAATGAACTAATATTAACTGAATGCAACATGAAACACAGCCCCCACTTCACTGTTAAAGCTATACCTTTCACGACATATAGTGTGGGCTACATGTAAGTTTTAGTTGGATGAAACTCCATCAGAGTTTTCGCCATATCCCCCAACATTATGAGACAGCCCTTACTGTTACATACCAGAGATTAAATGTTAGTCAGACACAAACGCAGCTTCTCTGATGCTACCTGGCCTGCTGTGTTCCTCCAGCTCCACACCTTGTTCATCCCACAGTCTAGTTGTTCTCCATATAATTACTTTTCATAGAATCATAGAATCCCTACAGTGTGGAAGCAGGCCACTTGGCCCATCGAGTCCACAGCAACGCCTCCGAAGAGTATCCCACACAGGTCCACCGCCCCTTACCCTATCGCTGTAATTCGGCATTTCCTATAGCTAATCCCCCTAGTTTACACATCCCTGGATACTATGGGACAATTTAGCATGGCCAATCCACCTAAGCTGCACATCTTTGGACTGTGGGAGGAAACCAGAGCACCCAGAGGAAACCCGTGCAAACTCCACACAGACAGTCGCCTGAGGGTGGAATTGAACCTAGGTCCCCTGGCATTGTGATTCAGCAGTGCTAACCACTGATGAGCCCATAACAACCTGTTATATCAATCCGTTTGGAAACATTGTGACATGCCTCTGGGGCAGGTGGGACTTGAACTTGGATCTTCTGGCCCAGAGGTTAGGGACACTGCCAGTTGTTTTCTGTATATGTATATCACCCAGTCAAGTTAACATGCAATTTTTGCTCAATTAGTTGACATGCATTAAAATGATTTTTGCATGTCAGCTTTAACTTTCCAAAGATTCAACTTTTTGCTTTTTTTTGGAGATTAAAATTTTGTGTTATCAAATTGATGGAACTCTTTTCAAGGTGCTCTTTAGCTGCAATACAACATGCGCAAATTGGGCCGAAGGGCCTGTTTCTGTGCTGTATGACTCTCACATTTCGAAGGTCAGATGTCCATTCGTTTAGCGTCTCCAAAATATGGACAGCATCTCTCTCACACAGTTATTCGATAATGACTAAATAATGGAAAAATCCTTCCACAATGGCAGCGGAGTAGGATGCTCCATCTGTTCCTTTTCTTTTTTTCTTCTTTTTCTCTTGAGTTTTTTTCTCTTCTGTGTTCTTCCTCTTCTGCCAGCGGCCCGGAGCGGAGCAGGGACAGCCAGTGGCTTGGAGCGGGAACGGCAACCACCAGGCTTGGAGCTGAGCGAGAATGGGCAGCAGGCCCAGAGTGAAGATGGCTACTAGTCGGGAACCAGTGCAGCCCCATCAGACTATGTAGAAGCCCTTATAGACTGTATTGTCTACTTTTTAGCTTTATTTCTTATTTTCCTAACTTATACTATGTATATCTGTCATGTAGTGGAACTTTTTTTCTTCATTTTCTCTATTTTTTCATACCTAATCTTGGTACCTAGGTACTTTGCACCTAAGATGGCACCACGTGTTGGCGACATTGTACAATTTTCACTGTACTCCTCTTCGTTTGTAACTTTTTAAACCTAATTCTAATCTAATTCTGAATAATGTTTCTTGAGCTATAAATATTAACCAAGATACTTGGTTGAACTCCTTTTGTAGTCACTCAAATAATGCACTAAGTTCTTTTCCAATGATTTGAGAAAGAAAATTCAGTACCTCGTCTGAAAACTGGCACCTCTGACAGTGCAGCACTCCCTCTGTGGGGATCTCATCCTCAATTTTCTGAAGCTCTGGAATAAAACTTGGATTCACTTTTCTGACTGGGAGGCGAGAGTTTTATGTTGAGCTACAGTCAACAGTTATTTTGGCCTACCTCATTTTTAACATCAAACAAGCATCCATTATGAAGGCGGATCCAAACTTTACAAGTTGCATGATCACCTCCCGGATATTTCAGATTGACATTATTGCTGGAAGATAGCCAACATTGTGTTACCTCCTCCAAAAGCTGCCAATATTTCTGTTCAGTTCAAAACATTTTCACTGTTGGTGGGCTGTTTAAGGAATTAGAATGTTTTGAGGTTACAAATTCTATTGTTACGGATTCTTGTCAATACTTATTGTTATATATTACACACATTACTGCAAGGCTGTCGGTGAATGAAGGACAACTATCTTCCTGAATCATTAGGTTAGAGACATCCTTGAAAGAGGGAGATGCATCTGTAAACGATTCCTTCAACTTATCACTTTTCAAATACTCGTCCTTGTTTATTTTCATGGCCGCCCCTACCCTAAGCTCTGTAATGCGCAAAGTGAGAGTTGTTGTAATCCCAGAGGGCTGTAGAATTATTAGAAGAACTAGACTTAGAAAAGTTTACAAGTCATCACTTACAGTGCCATCTTAAGTACCAGGGTATAGATTCTTAAGTACAAATTCTTAGCAGAAAAAATTTAGAAAAATAATGGAATACGCTGCTCTCTCGTGTGAGAGAGAGAGAGAGACATGACTGGTAGTGAGGTTAAACTGAGAGTCACCACACATGGGTTATGTTGAGAAAGGTAGGCCTTCATGGTGACCTCAGTGGGTACAGGCACTGAACCTGCAATGTTGGCCTACAGCCTTCTGAGATCTGGGATCCTCCATTTCTAGCATCTTGAAACACCGTCACCTCCCACCAAACCTACAACTCTCCACCATTGTTGGCTTTGCCTCCAATTGCCAAGGTCAAATCTCTGGCATTCTCTCCCTGATCATCTTTGCCCTTCTACTACAATTAATACATACTAATTCCTGCTTAAGCCCTATCTCTTTGGACAAAAATTTGTTCCCTTATGTGACTCAACATCATGTTTTGTCTGATAATGTTCCTGTGATGCACTTTGTTATGTTTTACTGTGTTCCATGTGCTATAATAATGTAAATTGTTAAAGGTGTTATGTAAATGAAATAATTAATGATCCATGCAAAAGGCAGGAAATAAGATGTTTTTGAACTCAAAATAATTCCTTAGACCCCTGTAAGAATTCATTGCATTTTATCCTGTTAGCCTGTGCTTTGTTTCTGGTCAATGATTGAATATTTCAGCATAATTCCAAGATGTTGCTTTTGAGAGTTTCATGTTTGTCTTTTGAAGAAGTTTAGTGATTTTCTTTTGCTGTCTCCCTGATTTTTTTTTGTTTGAGGTGAAAACAATCACTCTCTGGATACACTGTGCCCTCTTATCGAGCGGTTGGTGCATGACTCCCATCTCCTGTTCATGTGTCTGGCATTGAAATAGTTTGAAACGTAGTCATGAGCATTTTTGTTTGCATCTGTGCAGCATCTCGCCAAATGCTGTGAATGCCACAGAGTTACAACCAACTCATTCCACAAATGCATGAAATGTAATGCTTTTAGTGGGAGTTCCACTTGTACTTCATTATCTTCTCTTCCCACATCCAATTCGGGAAAACAAAATCCCATTCCGCTCTGAAGAGTTAGAGGGAAGAGATTGCCCTCCACTTGAAGGGGGTAACGAGCAAGGAAACTATTGTACATCTAAAGTGCATTGCTATAATAAAACACAGAACTGCAGATGCTGGAAATCTGAAACTGTGTTAACAGAAGTGGAAGGGCTTTAGAAACTTCGGGTCAGCTGTGTTTACAACAGACTTATGATTTGAAGTTGGAAGAATTCACAGAAGCTCCCCTCTAGAATCGTAAAGTGTGTGGTGATCAGGGAGTTTGTTGGTCCATCCCATATTGACTGTCTCTTCTGTGGTAGTGAAGCTGTGACGAATGCTGATGGATACTCTGCTTATTCCCTTTAGGAAAGGGCAGCTTTGAAGTTTCAAAAGCTGAAGAAAAAAAATTAGCCCTGCTTGATTTGTGCAACATATTTAGATACTTAACAAGCTGTTTGAAACTCTGTACTATCAGTATTTGGCAGAGGAGTGGTTTGAACATTGTGCACACACCGAAAGGAGCTGGGTTTTTGGCAGTTGGGGATGAAAGTGTATTTGAGAGGAAGCTGGTTAAGTACGTGAGGGAGTAAGGAATTGAAGGTTAACCAGTAGGTTGACAAAAAACTCCTGTGGAGCATAAACTCCAGCATAAACCAGTTGAGTTGAATGGCCCGTTTCTAAACTCAGTTCCGTTTTTCAATAAACACACCGGTTTAACAAAACAAACAGATGTAATGTGGAAACAACTTGGAATTCAGACAGAATGAATCAATTACAAGGCTGATACTTATAAAGTAAGTTGACACAAAACATCATCGAAGGAAATGACCTCAGATATATTCGTGAAAGCTAGGGCAGGTGAATTTGAGGTTAATAGGTCCGACATTTTTTTTGGTCAGGCGGCACCTTAACGTCTGGATCACTATAAGTTTCCAGGTACAATTCTGAGTCTGCTCTGGTTACCAGCTGTCAGCTCCAATGGTGGTCGATGGTGACATTAACAATTATATCCCAATGGTTCATGTCTGAAAGATGGAGATTAAGACAGTAAAGGGTGTGCTGTTTCCAGCAAACATTAATGAAGTAAGGTGGGAGGTGTCTTTTGCTTTTCTTAAAAAAAAAGTCACCAGTCTCTTTTTTGTTTTATTTCAGAACCTCACTGAAAATGTTAATGAATTTCTTTCCTTTGTATCCCATTTAGGAAACTAGCAGGGCGTACTCTCTTCATCACAGGTGCCAGTCGTGGTATTGGCAAAGCGATTGCCTTGAAGGCAGCCAAGGATGGTGCGAACGTTGTGATTGCTGCAAAAACTGCACAAGCCCACCCTAAATTGCCTGGCACAATATACACTGCGGCAGAGGAGAGTAAGTATATTGGTTAGCTGAGTTCAGTAAAGGAAGTAGAATATAAAAGTAAGGTGATCATGCTGGAACTTTCTAAAGCAAGAAAATCTTGGATTGATGATGCACTTTCCGGTGTGGCTATCTCCAAAGTGCTTTACATCCCATGAAGTACTTTATGAAGTGTTGTATTTTAAGAAATGTGACAATAAATTTGTGCTCAGTAACCTCCCACAAACAACCATGTGGTAATGACCAATTGTATCTTTTTTTTTTGTGTGGGATGTTGATTAAGGGATAAATGTTGGCAGGACACCACTGATGACTGCTTTTTGAAATAGTGCCATGGGATCTTTCACATTCACTTGAGAAGCCACATGGGGCTGCAACGTAGTTGAATGATAGCACCTCCAACAGTGCAGCACTCCCCCAGCTCTACACTGGAATATCTTTGTACTTTGGAGTGAGTCTTGACTCAGGTGAGAGTGCTGCACAACTGACATTTGGATACTGGTTAGGCATCAGATGATGCGTTTTGGGCACAGCATTTCAGCAGTGAAGTAAACGCTTTAGAAAGGATTTAGAGGAGGTTTACCAAAATGTTACCGGGGTAAGGAACTTCAGATGAGGAGAGATTTTTTTTATATATACCAATTGAAAATGCTGGGCCAATAAAATACCTACTTTGACTGCTGGAGTACCTTACCACATGACAGGTCAGCAGTGTTGTATCTGTACTGCTAACAACCATATTCTCTGGGGCAGTACAGCGTGAAAAATCCCTTCTGGTTGTTCTAGGTGGTGAATCCTAAACTTATTGGGGTAGTGAGTGGAGGTAAGCTAATATTCTTCATTTAAGGATGGAGAATTGAAGTAATCCACTACTTGCAATTGTCAAGGCTATTTGTTTTCTCCTCATCCCATCCCCATGAGCTGAATGGGACTTTGAACAGAACATTGTTTGGATAGCTATTGTGAATGGTACATCGCAAAATTGCCTCTGAGATACACAGTGAAGTAAATATTTGTGTGTTTAACTGATTTGACAATTGAATTCCTACATGTGCTACAGGCAAATTAAACCCCTTAAACACTGTGTGTGCACAAAATGGTCTGGTCAAGGTCCAAGCTTACTCTTATGTTGTGGAGCTCCGGGGTACATTGCATGAAACAAAGGAAGCTGAAACTTGCAGTTCTGTCAAAAGACCGCTGGACTTAAAATGTTAACTCACTGTTAGACCTTAACATGCATTTATTTCAACATATGGGAGGTATCCAAGCTCTCCAACTGCATTGCCCTGTCTCGCATAACCCATTTAAGGTGCAGATCTCTGCCAGGAACTATGTCTCAATGCTTCAGCGGTCTGCATTAGTGATCCAAAAGACATTTCGGAGACTTGAAAAGGGATATTGTTGGTTTCCATAAATCCATTTAAGGGGAAAGTTAGATGAATGCTGAGGGAGTAAGGAATGAAAGGATGTGTTCATTGGTTGGGAGAAAGCTCAGGTCAGTTAGGCTGAAGAGCCAGTTCCTCTGCTGCTTGATTTATGTAATTATTGCAATTATTTAAAAAAAAACTTTCTCGGGATGTGGGCATCACTGGCAAGAGTAGCATTTAGAACAATCTTATGCTTTAACCAGCACTTTATGAACTGGCACTCTTGATAAACCGGCAAAAATTATATACCTCAAACCCCGCAAAGTTTACTGTATCATTCCGTCCAATTTTTATAGTTTTTAAATTTATTTACCTCAGTATAAATACACTTGTTCAATTGAATGGCCACGTGATATATCGACAGTTGATTCAATTTCGAGTCAAATTCTCCTCAAATATCACGATCTACTGCAATGCCCGAATAATCATTTGACAGTGCGCGTGAAAACGTCAGTCGGTAAGTTTTATTTAGGACTCAGTTACATTATCATTTAAGTAATTTATGCTGTAAATGAAATATAACAGTGATGTGTATACCACCTGTATTATTTTTCTTTGTGTATGTTTTTAATTGATGATGAGTACCTTTTGATTGTCTGGAATATTTGATCAGCAGGTACACTCCTGGTCCCATAGGTGCCAGTTAATGAAACGTTTGCTGTACTATCCATTCCTCATCATTCTTGAGAAGTTGGCAGTGAGTGTGGAGAGCTGTCTTCTTGAATCACTGCAGTCTCTGTGGTTAAGAGTACTCCAGCAGTGATGTTAGGATTCTGCAAGGTTTTGACCCAGTGCTCATGAAGTGATGGTGAAGTCAAGCTGTGCGTGAGATTTGGAGCTAAATTTGGGAGTTGTTGATGTTCTCATGGGCAGCTGTTTTTGTCTTTCTCAGCCTTAGAGGTTTGTGTTTGTTTAAGCTGTTTGGGATGCAGTTTGGTACACCTGATTTCTGCAACTGCAACTTCATTCTTTTCATCATTGTAGAAGATAACAAATTTCTTCCAAAGGCAGCATCTTTCCAATCATCAATCACCTTAGAAATGTCACCTCCTTATTATTATGTTAGAAAAAGAATTGCAGAGTCTTGATTCAGGACTGACATTTCTTCAGCAATGCTTGCATGTTACAATTTTTAAAAAAAAGTTCATTTTCGGGGTTGCTGACTGGGCCAACGCTTACTGCCCTTGCAAAATGGTGGTGAGGTCCCTTCCTGAACCACTGCAGTCCATTTGCTGTAGGTAGCCGCGCAATGCCATTGAGGAGAGAATGCCAGGATCTTGACCCAATGACTTTGAAGGAACGGTGATATATTTCCAGGTCAGGATGGTGAGTGGCTTGTAGAACAACACACTATGGAAGAAGCCTTCGGCCCATCAAGTCCGTGCTGCCAAAATCCTTGTAAGCTGCATTGGAGGAGCTCTTGCAGGTGATGGTGTTCCCATATATCTTCCACCTTTGTCCTTCTACACGGAAGTGGTCATGGTTTCCGCATTTGTGGTGATGTGGCAGTTCTTCTCACCAAAATAGATGAAGGCTGCTGCAATTTTTGTTTTTTTGGTGAAAAATTGCTTCCCATCCTTCCCTTTTTTAGAAAATGTGTTGCCACTTGTTCTCCATTCCGTATGGTTTACTAATTCCAGAGAGTGATTAATTGACATAATCCATTCTCGGGTATCCCCGATCACAGATGTGGCCTGGGAACACGTTGGTTCCCATATATTTTGGTGTATACTTTGGACGGGTAGCTGTGACTTGAAATATGGTTCCATCAATAGCTGAGTGGGTAAATGCTGAGTGGGATGTTTTTTGTAGTCATACGCATCGCACACACTGATCTGTACAGTGATTTCTAATCTTGGTCAATCTAACTTTGGTGTCTTCTAAAGAAGATGAAAACAATTACCTCGGATTCTTCATTCCTCATTGCCATCTGAGTGACTTCTTTTTGGAAAAGGTGGATATTCTGGTTGAGAACAGAATAGTGGTTACCTCTGTAATTCCTCTAACCCTTCGTCCCAATCCAGCAACACAGTACACTTTTTCGGTGCAGAGTACAAATGAAGGGTAGACACTTGGGTGAAGAACTGGAGGGCAAACACTTACCTAATAGGTAGCCCAATATTAAATGTCACTGGACCTAAAACATTAATCTTGTTTTTTTCTTCTCAGATGCTGCCGGACCTGCTGAGCTTTTCCAGCAACTTTGTTTTTGTACCTGATTTACAGCATCGGCAGTTCTTTAGGTTTTTATTTAGCCCAATATGAATGACCGTTTTACTGAGGAAAAGGAAGAAGTAGGTTGCGAGCAGTGGAGACTGTGGGGAGCTACTTTGGACATACTTAGTTACAGTCGCATGGGTGTCTCAGTGCCATGGTGTGGAGTTTAACAGTGTTTCTATTACCAACTGGTTTGCAACAAAGGAAATCTGGGTGAAAGGTTCACTAGTTTTGGTGTAGACACTAGAATGCAGTTTATTGCAAAGTTTCACACACGGTTGCAAATTCCTCCCTCAAAGTGGTTATGCTAAACTGGTTTACCATATGACCTTGGCATTCTGGTCCTGTTACTCTTGACTACATGATGTGAAGGAGGTTACTCGGCAGCTGTGTGATCTCTGAGCGAAGGACTTTTTGTGTTTATTTGGTGGGGTAATGTGCATTCCACTAATTTCTCTGCATAATTGTAATGGGGGAGGGTGGGTTGAAATGAGGTAAGGAGTTCAAGTAACAAAGGACAATTTACTGGATCACATTGTGTCATTTATTACAACACTGGTTTGAATGGAATTTGTCTAAAGAGACAGGAACAGCATCAAAATAAATTGGAACTGACCTTGACCAGTGAGATATGTGCAACCTAATTTTTCTTGTTAATCTCATTCATTGATCTTGGAATTTACGAATCCAAACTAAGATGATGTACAGCAAAATTTATTTTCTGTCACACTTCCTTTCTTTTCCCCACTGTTTCTCTGTACGAGGTCGTCTTCATTTCTGAAGGATGTTATAGTTCCAGCTGATGTTACTGTGAGACAAGTTCGATCCCAGACTGAAATCTGGCTTTGTAGCTCTTGTCATTAAACAAGGTGGTCTTTCACTGAAACATAAACGCTCAATCATCCAGATTTGAGTTTAATAATAAAACAGAAGTTGATTACATACAAGAAATGAGGATGAAATAAAACAAGCCAAACAACTCTCATGACACCATTTGAAATATTTAAAAAAAACACAGCAAAATAAAATCCACCAATTCCCAACACAGTCACTTTACAGTAGTCAAATACTAAAAAGAGAGAGAGAGACAGAGATGGAGTTCCTGTCTCAATTACATCTTTAAAAATGTGAATAAAGAAATGATGTTTTAAAAACAGCTCACATTACAGAAAAGGAAGTTCAGGAGGTCTTAGAGAATATCAAGGTGGATAAATCTCTGGGATCTGATCTTGTGTATCCCAGAATGTTGTGGGAAGTAAGGGAGGAAATTGTGGAGACCTCTTGCAGAAATATTTGCATCATCCCTAACTACCGGTAAGATGCCTGATGACTGGAGGGTGGCTAATGTACTTTTGTTTAAGAAAGGTT